TAAACGACTGTGTAGCAAGAAGCTGAAAAGTGTAAAATTTCGGATTATCGCGAAGTGAAATTTGAGCTTTCGGTGCGATAACCGTTTTTCGTGAATTTCTGCCGTTATACTGGATATTTCAAAAAACTAACTTGATTTCCCTCAGTTACTTACCTAGGCCTTCAAACTGGCAAAGTATGAGCGAAATCGATTTTTCGACCGTGGCCACATTTTTAGAATTTTCTTTGATTTATACTGACATTCACTCTTAATTTACTCTAACATGGACGGCGTAAACCAAGACTTGGTATTAGCTGGAGTATGGCCGCCATGTTGCGCGACGTCGTCGTCGTCGTAGGGTGCACGCGCCCGCGATCCATGCCGCTAGCCATGTTGACCAAGAAAAAAGAGTTGCATGGGTTTCTATTTCTATGCGTACATGTGGTTCTTTCTGTTCCTATAGTTATGGTGCTCCGCTTGGCGGCCCTTCGGGCAGCTAGAGCTCCGCTATAAGTGAATAAAGATGGTGAATTTTAAGCTCGGTAATGAAACGTTAAAAGTGAACTAATCAACATGACACGAGCGTGGGACAAAGAAAAAATCTGACTCCCCGGCAGGAATCGACCTCCCGAATACCGGGCGGGCATTTTATCGCTGAGCTATGGAGAGTAAGAACTCATGGAGGGTAAGGTTATTTAACTGAGTTCATATGTGACAGGCATAGATTCGTGCATCATTTTCATTCTTACGGAGAATTTAAATTAAGAAAGACATCTCTCCTTGTGTGAACGTTCAACACCTCGCACGGGAAATGTGACGTTCGAAGCGAAAACTTCAATACTGATGACATAACAAAACACAGAGTGCAATGATAAGTGAAATTAAAACAAACAAACAAACAAACAAACAAACAACTAATGGGACATCTCTGTAGTTTTCCCCGATTAATTTCAGACGTTTCTCTCAGGAGGGATGCAATCAGCATGCTGAGGGTGAAACACTACCGATTGCATACATACAGATTCAACAAAAATCTGCTCGTTTTCACTTGAAGCAATCTCGAACCCATTAATTTTTTCCTCTGTTTACTGTGTTAAAAGCACTCAAAAAGGGAATCGCATCAAAAATTAATATTTATTATTCAGGAGCTGCCTAGTTGTTGCGACTAGAATGACTTTGTCTATCACTGGCTTGAGTTCGTAATAGCTGACTTAGGTTCGTGCTAGTTTCATATCAAGTTTAGTTTTTTGCACAGATTGCGTATCAAAAATTATTGTCACGTGACAATGACGCGAATGTAGACCTCGTGGTTTTAGCGTGGTTTTAGCGTTGTGATCGGAAATCGAGCAGTTTGGAAGTAAACTTTCTACTTGTCCAACACGTTTACTTACAGCCTGAATAAAGTTAAATTTGGCTACATTTTCAGTTCTATCTTTGCTCATTAGCAGAGCTTGATTAAGATACACTGAATGAGCTTTGTTAGTTTTGTGAGGTTTTCAGCTCGGATGTCAACATGTAACTGGGGGTGTTTATAAACACCCAAAGAGTATTTGTTATTCAGTGTATTTATTTCTGTATTTTTTGTTTAGCTATCAGTAAAACAGATAGTATAATTTAGAAATCTGCTATATTAACTTCGGCCACAACCTTACTTTCACAGCGCTGTGTAAATCTAATCTTATTATTATTATTATTATTATTATTATTATTATTATTATTATTATTAAAGATTCGCACAGCTATTGATG